TGATACAAAGTATATACATGGTATATTTCCGGTAAAGAGGAAAATAAGACATTTCATCTTCAAAAACCTGTAATTGTAGCATATCTCAGGTCTGAAAAAAACAGAGGCAAATCAGTCACTGGGCCAGAGCATTTGGGTGCCAATAGAGGAAGTTTGGGTGTAAAGATAATTAAGATCCCCCACCATGTAACCATCTGAATACATCCATGCTTACATGATTGGCGCCAGGGTCCTGCCCTGCCACAAGGGGCTTATAGTCCCCAAATTTTACATGAAATCAGTAAAGATCCCATCCAAATGCTGCTGGGCATGCAGAGGAAAAACACTCATGATACCAAGATAGTCCCTAATGGAGCCCACCCCATCCCTGAGGACTTACTCCTTCAGTCATAACATGGAAATTGTTGAGATCCCCAAGCTGATATTTCCTGTATGGTAAGAGGTAATCAACAACTTTTAATGAAAAATATTATTCCAGGTGAGCTATTAATAATGTGCCTGTGCTTCTTGTTCTTGAGAGGCCACAATAAGGGAACATAAATGGGAAACTCCAGCACAAGCAAACATGTTATATTTCCTGTGCATGCAATCAATATGAACCAATATCAGACAACTATTATAAAGATGAGGTACCTTACCTACAGAGAATATGGACCTTACATATACCTCATGTATATGTGCATGCATACAAGATGTACTTGATGTATAGGTGTAATCTGATGTATAGAAGGTATATATATACCTGATGCATGGAAGGTGTATATATATACCTGACCTATAGGAGGTGTATACCTGATGTATAGAAGGTATATATACCTGATGCATGGAAGGTGTATACCTGACCTATAGGAGGTGTATACATGATGTATAGAAGGTATATATACCTGATGCATGGAAGGTGTATACCTGACCTATAGGAGGTGTATACATGATGTATAGAAGGTATATACCTGATGTTTAGAAGGTGTATATCTGATGTATATGAGGTGTATATCTTAAGGTTTTTTTTTTCAATTGTCGCCCTTTTACTCTTGGGGAGGGGATACATTTACATGATGTGATCATGTGGACGCTAAGGGCCTGAGGGGCGGAGCCAAAAGGGGCCAAAATAGCTCAAACAATAATTGTCTACTTCCAGATCCAGATATGTTAAAAAACCTTCTCATGGATGGAAATATCCTGATGTGCTTAATCAAAATGTGAATTTCACAACCCCTTGGGTACTAATTCCTCCCTGGTGAGGGGCAAAATTCCCTGCTATACATATATATATATGTAATTTTTATTTTTGACATATCACAACAACAAATAACAATTGCATTACAACTCAGGTGACCTGTTAGGCCCATGGGGCTCTTGTTTTAAAGTACTGTATTAGTTGGATGTGTTGATATTGGCTTCCACTAATAATCCCACTACTTACCTATAATTAGATGTGGGTTACAGGGACATGTCACATGCTTATTAAGTGTGCTGCAAAATATATATATATACTGTGATGCCCATTCATTATATATAATATCTTCCATTGTATATATAAACGAGTACCTGGTAGTATTTGACATGTCCCTATAGACTTAAGGTTATGGAATTATGCACTATAGAAATATTCAAATTTCAAATATTTCATATCAATATGGATTGAGTGTCGGTGCTATATATTTAAAAAAAAAACTGTTCAAAACAGTTGATTCTCAAACAGAATTTGTTCTGTATCAAAAAAAAAAATGTTTTTGGGCTGAAATATCTATCCTAGATGTTATTATTAAAAAGAGTTATACAATACTTATCCACAAGTTTTTGAGTCTTGAACCCAAATGTTAAGCACATGTATCAGTAAACTGAATATTTCTCTTGGAATCTGCTTCAAACTTTGGGGGAAAAGTCCTATTTGTACCATATGCTCCCCTGAGTGATAAAATTAATTTGGAAAAGGAACTGAAATACAAGACATTCTTCATTTTTGAAATTATATCTAAGTTCCCTAAGTTTATGATCTAGTGCCAGTCACTTTTCATAAATAAAGATGATGAGATTAATTTAATATAATAAAATAACCTTGCTATAGTGATATGTACACATATATAGTATAAATATATTTTATTATGAATTTTTTCTTGGACTTAAAATTAACCTAGAGAGGTCAAGTTAGATCAAATGTAAAAATAAGCAGTTAATGTCCTGGGTATAATAAATTGTATTTCATTATAAATATTCTTCGTGTATTTTAGATTTGCTTATATCTGGTAGATTGCAAGATTCTATACCACCAGGTCTAAATTAACATATAGGACAGTCTTTGAAAAATGGGACAAAATCTAAACAAGCTACTTGGGGTGGGCGACTCACTGAGGGTAGGTTAACTAATTTGATTGGTTTGGAAGAACACTGAACAGATGTACATGTCCTTTACCTGTTAACTCACAAAATACATGAACACAAACTTTAAACCATGAATTTATAACACAGGAAAATCAGCAGAAATCAATAAATTTTGCTTACAACAAAGAAGACAAGTGATGTGAATGATAAATGTTGAATCAACTAACTCAGCTTAGCTTTCTGACATCAACTATAAGACAAGACCTCATTAATAATATAAACCAAACCCCTCCCCCCTCCCCAAATCAAACCAAACTAGAATTCTTCAACGAGGCTGTGTACGAAAAATAACATAAATCAAGATGAATTTTAAAATCTCACTTTATATTTGAGTATGTGGTGACTGATTATGACAATATTTCTGCGCTCTTACCGAGTTTGGCATCATTACACCTTCACAATATAAATCCTCAGCAAACTACTTTCATTTGTCTCATTCTGGTTGAAAATGACGTACAACAGATTAATAAATGACAGTGATTCTCACTAATAAGAACTATATCTAAACCTTTGGATTTTAGGCCAACGAAACTAAATTGTCATTTGAATAAATAAACATGTAGCAACTTCACAGACATTTTCTAAGTTCTCAATGGCTCTTTAGAACACTCGAGTTTCTTTCGGAAAAGTTTATAACTCTGGATTATTCCAGCCATTTTAGAATATATTAATGTGTGATTCCTAACACTAATATTTTAAAATGTATGCGTAAATATAATAATTAATATTTGAATATATCAACTAAAATTCTATATTGGTGTTAGTTATACTTCCTGTTGAAAAATAAGCTAGTTTTACACAGCTCCCGTTTATCGGACTCGTGATCTAAGTACAACGGGAGCAGTCATTTTCAAACATTTCTTCTTTGTCGGTCTCGCGAGAGTCTCGTTCTTTATAAGATATCTCATAAACTTTTCTTTATAAGATATCTTATATCTTTTATGAGATATCTTATATAATATATAAGATATCTTATAAAGAAAATTAATTGAGATATCTTATAAAAGATATAAGATATCTTATATATTATATAAGATATCTTATAAAAGATATAAGATATCTTATAAAGAAAAGTTTATGAGATATCTTATATCTTTTATAAGATATCTTATATCTTTTACAAGATATCTTATAAAGTATATAAGATATCTTATAAAAGATATAAGATATCTCATAAACTTAAAATAAGATATCTTATATGTTTATAAGATATCTCATATGTTTATAAGATATCTTATATGTTTATAAGATATCTCATATGTTTATAAGATATCTTATATAATATATAAGATATCTTATATAATATATGAGATATCTTATATAATTTGGTTAAGTACTGGATCAACATTGCTCCATGAATAAATGACAACTTGGCTTGCCATAGTGGTAGGTCTAGATTTGGTACGGCTTGCTTATATTATAACATGTTGGTACGCTTTTATTTGTACATGTTGGTACGCTTGCATTGGGACTTGTTGGTACACCTGCATTAGAACACGTTGGTACACCTGCATTATTACATGTTAGTTTGTTTGTATTGGTACATGTTGGTACGCTTGCTTTTATACATGTCGGTACGCTCGTATTAGAACATGTATTTACGCGTGCATTGGTACATGGTTTTACGCTTGCATTGTCACATTATGCTATTCTTGTCATTTTAATTGCACACTGATCACTATATTATTATACAAAATGGTTATCGTGTAAAAATAGAGCTATATAACAAACGATTATCCTTTAACAATGATAATAAGGTTTTCTCTTAAGTGATGGAAAAAAACCGAGTTCCCATTTTATATTGATTACGTTTTCAAAGCAAGGTTCGTGGAATATCAGGATCACAATAGCAAATTATTTCACCCTTTATTCATGATATAAAAAAGTATAATAGACTTTTCAGGAAGGAACTAAACTAAGCAAGAATACAACATAATTCATGAATCCCGTGCATTGCTTATAGATGAGTTCATAATGCGTATTATCTCACACATGAAAAACTGTTGTGCTACTAAAACATATACTTTTATGACAGGTTTATCACGATATTATACTGAATAGGTCTTCCCGGAAGACTTATAAAGTGGTAATACCGCTCTGTAATCTTCCTATTGTTGCTTCATTTATCTTATATTTCAGATACATTAAACTGAATGGCATTACCTTTGGATTTGTTATCTAAACCAGACCCAGGATCAACCACAAGCCAACCATAACACAACAACCGTCATTTGTGAGCAGATATAAAACTAAAGGTTATATACTTAGTATATATTTCCAACGGAGTGACTATCAATGACCGAAAAGGACGTTCATGAGAATCAAAGCTCAGTCATTTCGTACAACGAACATATCAGGCAACAAGGGAAATAGCTATGGTTGCCACATAAAGCGGAGACATGTTACAAGCCAAGAAGAAAACAAGCGCGGTAGCTAGGTAAACTTTGAAAATAAAGGACATAGTTCGAAGACCAAGGAGAAGACCAACGTTTCATTTAATTTGTTTCAAAGAAGACTGACAGTTCAGGCACGAGGCCAAGAAGAATAAATAGGACACAAGCTATGCATGTGTTTCATTGTGTTGTACAAGTTGTGATTAAGGACCATTTAATGACATTTTAACGGAACAGGAAAACAATTAAAGTGTTGTTTCTGTAGTACGCATTTTAGTAGTCCATCTAAGCTGAAGGGAAACGTCATGGCACCTAAAGTAGAAAAGCCCCACAAGTGTGATATTTGTTCTAAGGGATTTAGTTATCCATCTGGACTACAGACGCATCTCAAGATCCATACGGGAGCAAACCCGTTCCAATGTGACGTTTGTTTGAAGAAATTTAATAATACATCCAACCTTAAAGCACATCTCAAGATCCATACGGGAGAGAGACCTTTTAAGTGTGATATATGTCGTAAAGGATTTACGTCTTTCTATTGTTTACAGATACACCATAGGACACATACAGGAGAGAAGCCTTACAAGTGTGATGTCTGTGGTAAGGGGTTTAGTCTATCAACTAACCTCCGTGTACATACCAGAACACATACAGGAGAGAAGCCTTACAAGTGTGATGTCTGTGGGAAGGAATTTAGTGACCCATCTAGCCGACAGAGACATACACGACAACATACAGGAGAGAAACCTTACACGTGTGAAATCTGTTCGAGGGGGTTAAGCAGTTTCGATTGCCTTCAGAAGCATCTCCTGACACACACAGGAGAAAAGCCTTTCAAATGTGAAGTCTGTTGTAAAAGATTTAGAGCCTCCTGTAGCCTAAAGGTACACACAAGGATACATACCGGAGAGAGGCCTTACCAATGTGATAGATGTGGTAAAGGCTTTTGTAAGTCATCCAAGCTTAATAGACATTACAGAACACATACAGGAGAGAAGCCTTACAAGTGTGATGTCTGCGGTAAAACTTTCGGCGATTCTTCACACCTAGTTGTACACAGGCGAACACATACAGGAGAGAAGCCTTACAAGTGTGAAATCTGTTGTAAAAGATTTAGTCAACCATCAAAATTAAATAGACATCACAAGATCCACACAGGAGAGAAACCTTACAAGTGTGATATCTGCGGTAAAACTTTCGGCGATTCTTCACACCTAGTGGCACACAGGCGAACACATACAGGAGAGAAGCCTTACAAGTGTGAAATCTGTTGTGAAAGATTTAGTCAACCATCAAAATTAAATAGACATCACAAGATCCACACAGGAGAGAAACCTTACAAGTGTGATATCTGTTGTAAGGGATTTAGTGAATTAGCTAGCCTCAAATGGCACGCCAGGATACATACAAACGAGAGACCATACAAGCGTGATGTCTGTGAAAAGACATTTAAACACTCGAACACCCTAAAGAAACACCACAAGACGCACCAGATAGAGGACGTTAACAACAATGATGTATCTGAGAAGACGTTTAGTCTTTCAAAATGTCTTCATTAAGGATCCCGACCTGTCCCAACTGCATTGTATTTTCCATATACAGTAACCTCCCCTCAAATTCCACTTCGATATAAATGTAGCTCAGTTTTGCCAGGACACTTTCGTTGACCAGGTAGCTCAGTCGTGGAGTCCAGGGTTCGAATTCCGACCTAGCTCCGCTGAATCTTTATACTCGGAACACTTTTGTTTATGTTTATCACATTAGGTTTATTCGTCCCGCAAGGTGTGGTTTACTTTTCAGAAATAATTTATAAAAGCTAGTGCCATGCCGTTAAAATAATTTTAAATGTACGCGAAAATACTGATGTTGTTACAGTGCCAGTGATACACTGATGTTAGTGAGAACACTGATGTTGTTACAGTGATACACTGATGTTAGTGAGAATACTGATGCTGTTACAGTGATACACTGATGTTAGTGTGAGTACTGATGTTGTTACAGTGATACACTGATGTTAGTGAGAATACTGATGTTGTTACAGTGATACACTGATGTTAGTGAGAATACCAGTGATACACTGATGTTAGTGAGAATACCAGTGATATACTGATGTTAGTGAGAATACTGATGTTGTTACAGTGATACACTGATGTTAGTGAGAATACTAATGTTGCTACAGTGATACACTGATGTTAGTGAGAATACTGATGTTGTTACAGGGATACACTGATGTTAGTAAGAATACTGATGTTGTTACAGTGATGCACTGATGTTAGTAAGAATACTGATGTTGTTACAGTGATGCACTGATGTAAGTGAGAGTACTAATGTTGTTACAGTGCCAGTGATACACTGATGTTAGTGAGATTACTAATGTTGTTACAGTGCCAGTGATACACTGATGTAAGTAAGAATACTGATGTTGTTACATTGATACACTAATGTAAGTGAGAATACTGATGTTGTTAGTGCCAGTGATACACTGATGTTAGTGAGAATACAGATGTTGTTACAGTGATACACTGATGTTAGTGAGAGTACTGATGCTGTTACAGTGATACACTGATGTTAGTGAGAATACCAGTGATATACTGATGTTAGTGAGAATACTGATGTTGTTAAAGTGATACACTGATGTTAGTGAGAACACTGATGTTGTTACAGTGATACACTGATGTTAGCGAGAATACTGATGCCGTTACAGTGATACACTGATGTAAGTGAGAGTACTAATGTTGTTACAGTGCCATTGATACACTGATGTAAGTAAGAATACTGATGTTGTTACATTGATACACTAATGTAAGTGAGAATACTGATGTTGTTACAGAGATACACTGATGTTAGTGAGAATACTGATGTTGTTGCAGTGCCAGTGATACACTGATGTTAGTGAGAATACTGATGTTGTTGCAGTGATACACTGATGTAAGTGTGAATACCGGTTTTGTTAGTGCCAGTGATACACTGATGTTAGTGAGAATACTGATGTTGTTACAGTGATACACTGATGTTAGTAAGAATACTGATGTTGTTACAGTGATACACTGATGTAAGTGAGAGTACTAATGTTGTTACAGTGCCAGTGATACACTGATGTAAGTAAGAATACTGATGTTGTTACATTGATACACTAATGTAAGTGAGAATACTGATGTTGTTAGTGCCAGTGATACACTGATGTTAGTGAGAATACTGATGTTGTTAGTGCCAGTGATACACTGATGTTAGTTAGAATACTGATGTTGTTACGGTGATACACTGATGTTAGTTAGAATACTGATGTTGTTACATTTATACACTAATGTAAGTGAGAATACTGATGTTGATACAGTGCCAGTGATACACTGGTGTTAGTAAGAATACTGATGTTGTTTAGTGAGAATACTGATGTTGATACAGTGCCAGTGATACACTGATGTAAGGGAGAGTACTAATGTTGTTACAGAGCCAGTGATACACTGATGTTAGGGAGAATACTGATGTTGTTCCAGTGATACACTGATGTTAGGGAGAATACTGATGTTGTTACGGTGATACACTGATGTTAGTTAGAGTACTGATGCTGTTACAGTTATACACTGATGTAAGTGAGAATACTAATGTTGTTACAGGGCCAGTGATACACTGATGTAAGGGAGAATACTGATGTTGTTCCAGTGATACACTGATGTTAGTGAGAATACTGATGTTGTTACAGTGATACACTGATGTAAGTGAGAGTACTAATGTTGTTACAGTGCCAGTGATACACTGATGTTAGTAAGAATACTGATGTTGTTACAGTGATACACTGATGTTAGTGAGAGTACTGATGAGACGACCTACGACCTAGGTTGTGATAAAGCGGTATACAAGAACCTCGAATTGTTATTATTGATACTCATTAAAGTTGAGAATCATTTCTGGAATGTGGTGATAGTAGAAAACATGGATTCATCTTACATACAAATTTATATAAAAGAAAAGGTATTTCTATTGTTCACTTATTACTGGCATAATTCGCTATTCTACAAAGGGTAAATATTGACCAAGTTTCTTATAAACCTATCATATTTGACTAAGCCCCTGTGCGTGAAACTTCATCAATCAAATGGCAGGATACTAACAAATTATGCGCAGGTTTTGCTGATCTTTAAGCTTAACCATTTTCATTGTAAAATGTAAATATTTACCATGTTTAATAAGAATCCAATTATATTTAACAAACTTATTGCGCAGAAACCATCAACCAATCAAAGCACAGTATGCTAATAACTAATTATTCGTGGATTTGCCTAAAGTTAAGCTTATCCTCAGCATTTGTGTATTGTTCATAACTACTAAGTTTCATCAAAATCGAACAATAATGAAAACTAATGATTGGAAATTGACCAATCAGAACACAGTATACTAATTAAGCACGAGCGGATTTTGCTCAATTTCGAACTTAGCCTTGTTATTTATATAATGTATATGCATACCATTTTTTGTCCATTTGAACGATATTTAAGCAAATGCCCTTTCAGAAACCAAAGTGTGAGACGGACGCTCACCCAACAGACCAAAATTGCAGCTGACGACATGAAAGAATTGGAATGGATCCACAAGACTATCTTCGGACTGGGAGTGCGATGATTACATAAATGAATTCCGGTCTAATGGTCCTACAACTTATGCGTACCGCCACTATTGAATTCTTCAAATATTTGTCGCAAAAAACGGAAACGAGAATAAAATAAAAGGAATATCAGAAAGTCAACACAAATCGGATGATATTACCAATCTGGTCTTACGGCCACTAGTTCGTATAGTTTGTACTGTGATACATCGGTAATACATAAAATAGGTATAAATATGAAACTGTCAATATACCGATCTGTACGCTCATAAGAATCATCAACCCAGATATTATTTACATGTGTTGCTATTAAAGAAATTGAATTAAATTTTATTTTTGATTTTATAAAGTGTATGCAGCACAAAAACAATAAACTCAGTTGGATGTTCTGGGAAAGTTGTACAGAAATTTTATATAAACATTGTATGGCACTAGTCCATAAACCTTCCTGAAGTTTAAGTCTAAGACAAAATCAAAACGCCAAATATCAGTGTTTTGAAAACAGGAAAATGCTATTCTGAAAGTGCTTTGTCGGAGAAAATAATTAGGACTCAATATCGTTTCGAATATGTTAGGTGTTTGATTAAACCACATATAATATACACATGCGTCGGCACTTTGTCCCCAATATAGTAATTGTACACATGTACTAAAATAAGTTTGCTCAATCCTTCATTTTTTTGGAGTCTTAACTGATTCCTAAGGCATTCATGAATTTGTGCAACAACGTTATTTCTTTCCTGAAATTTATTTATACTTTCGAAAAAGTGTACTTCTGGATTCAGTTCGAGTTTGTTGTTAAACCTGCCTTCTTGTGTGGAGAGCAGTTAAGTTGGTTCCATATAATACAAATATCATATTTCGAAGATACAATGTTTTATTATTGATACATGAAATATGCAATATACAAAGAACAGTAAATCACAGTTACAAACTATACGTTGTTAAAGTATGAGTAAAGTAGCTCTACGTTAACATAAATACAATTCTTCTAGAAAAAGAGGTCCAGGCGGCCTGTACCGCTCACCTAGATATTTAAGTAAACATTCTTTCTCAAGATATACTTCTAGTTCTTCGACAGGACAGTTTCAAATCTGACTGTCACATACGGAATATCGCATGCTATTGATAACACAACATATAAATTACACTGTATACAATTTCATATAAAGTTCATATGTCTAAACTATCATAACCATACGACGCTAAAATACATTCTTAAATAAACTGGACATTTTGTCATGCAACACACAGACATGAACGTATGTGGGGAGGTTTAACAAGTAACTTCGTAAAAACACCAAAAGTTTCTAAATATGTGTTGATGTCTACATAAGTACAAGTATAAGCAACATTTTATCAAGTTGTGGAAAGAGGTATTTGATGAAATAACTTAATAGAGATGTCAACACAATCAGGATGTAACTTATCAGTTTCATAAAATTGTCATTCACAATTAGAAGAACGTCAAAGATTAAAAATAACAGTAAAATAAAACATTGCCAAAATAGTTTAAAGTCCATTTGTTTGGACATTTATATTTTCCCATTACTTTATCTTAATATACAAAAAATATTCTAACCAATAGAACCTGCCATTACCATGTAAACAAGTGTTAAAATAGTGTGCTTGAATTGCCGAACACCGATACTAACAGTCAACAGTTTATCAAATTCCCTACAAAAATGTAAGGTTTACATTTGGCACATCTTAAACTGCACTTCACGCTAAACATTTCTCTCCTGTGTGTATATTGAGGTGTATATTTAGATTAGACAATTCAATAAATTTCTCACCACAGATATCACACTTGTAAGGATTCTCACCTGTGTGTGTCCTTGAATGCACCCTAAAGTTAGATGAATAACTAAATTCCTTATCACAGACATCACATTTGTAAGGCTTCTCACCTGTATGTGTCCTGGAATGTACCTTGAGATGAGATGAATAACTAAATTCCTTACCACAAATATTACACTGAAAATGCTTCTCTCTTGTATGCGCCTTTAAATGTGAGTGTAGGGATTTTATTTTAGTAAAACCCTTACCACAGATAATCCCATTTACACAGAAACCACACTTGTAATTATTCTCTTCTGGACATAACTGTGTTTTTGTATGTAACTGTAGGGAATATCGCTTATTAAATTCCTTACCACAGGCATCACACTTGTAGGGCTTCTCTCCTGTATGTATCCTGAGATGAGTGTGTAGGTTAGATGACTTATTGAACTCCTTACCACAGATATTACACCTATAAGGTTTCTCTCCGGTATGTATCCTGAAATGCGTCTCTAAGCTAGATGATTCACTGAATTCCTTACCACAGATATCACACTTGAAAGGTTTCTCTCCTGTATGCGTCCTTAAATGTGTTTGTAAGTTAGATTGGTTACCAAATCCCTTACCACAGGCATCACACTTGTATGGCTTCTCTCCTGTGTGTGTCCTTAAATGTGTCTGTAGATTTGATGATTGACTAAAGCCTTTGCCACAGACATCACATTTGAAAGGCTTCTCTTTAGTATGTATCCTAAGATGCCTCAGTAGATGAGATGAATACTTAAACACCTTGCCACAGATATCACACTTGCAAGAATTGTCTATTTTCTCTCCAGTATGTGTCCTAAAATGTGTCTGTAACTGAGATAAATTACTTAATACCTTACCACAGACATCACATGTGTAAGGCGTCTCTCCTGTATGCTTCCCGAAATGTATTTGCAGGTTGGAAGAAGTGATAAATTCCTTACAACAGACATCACATTTGTAAGGCTTCTCTCCTGTGTGTCCTGAGATGTGTGTGCAGATTCGATGACTGACTAAATCCTTTACCACAGACTTCACACTTGTAAGGTCTCTCTCCTGTATGCTTCCTTTGGTGTATCTGTAGTTGAGATGACTCACCACATACTTTACCACATATATCACACTGATAAGACTTTGCTTCTTTATGTGTTCTTGAATGTGTTTTAAAGCTGGACTGATTATCAAATTCCTTACCACAGACAACTCACTTGTATGGCTTCTCCGGGGTAGTTTCCGTATGACTGTTTTGGGAGTCATCTCTATATAATGTATTACCACTTGCATCCCACTGGTCAGGATTCTTTTCTGTATGTGTTCTTCGGTGACTCATTAAGAAAATTTTTTTTCAAACATCACATCACAATGTCGATTTAGTATTATCAATTAACGTTGTCCCATATCTTCCACAAAATGTCATGAGGGAAGAAACAGATTGATGCAGAATAAGGTTTGAAACAAATCCTTTATGTAAATTTCTCGTCCGAGTGAATTAAAATTTGGATATCTGTAGCCTTGGCATTAAGAAAGCCTTCTGGTAAGCTTTATTTTGGTTTTAATTCCTATTATCATCATTTCAAGGTAGTATGACACCCCAAAGAAAAGTCATCTGAAAGTATAAGAAACGAATGAAATACAAAAGTCTATTTAGTAATGAGTTACGACCATGGAATTAAATATATTCTGTATGAAACAGATATAACCGAGTTACCACAATCAAGAAATATCATTATGTATAATATCGCTTCAAAGTGGTTTTAAAGTGGAATTTTAAAATTTATCGCATTTCTTCTCAAGTTTTCAAGTAACAAAAGAAAAATATTATTCACACTATCAGATACATTGTCCGCACCCTGGCAATCTACCTTTTCTTTTATTGCGATTTGCTATGAAAGGTAAAAAATCAGGGCAAGATGATTTGATGTTCAGGTCGGAGGTTAAGTGCTTATGTTGCAGTTAGATTTACTTTACTACCGATGAAGTGGATCCAAACAGATCATTGCTCTATGCATGGTGGCTACCAATTCATCTGTCAGAGTAATTGCAATGACTTCAGCTATGAAAACTGGAATTATTGCGTAAATAGTAGAAAGACTATATACTTCCAATAACACGTGCTGCCGTTACTTTCTCCTTGACCTTAGAACCTCGTATGCAGAGGAAACTTGGTATTTCAAATGCACCGTCATAGTAGTTGATGATTGTCAAGATAAATATGTCTGTATTGGATTAATATGAATAAGGTGTGTGTGTGCGTTCAAAACCTTATACTAAGTATTTAATATGTGTGTGCGCATCAAGAACTTTTATATGTGTATGTTATATACGGTATATGTAGCGGCCGTACCGCATTAGTGGTGTGCTACCTTCGGAATGGGAGACAGGAGCTACCACCCTTTACAGAACATTCGTTGCGTTGTGATACGTATACCCGTTATTGACTGTATGTGTTTTACGTATACAATACGCGACGCGTTGGACCCCCGTGGGTCGTTGTGACATTTGTAGGCGAAGTTGTAATTTGCGCCACACACACACGTCCTGTATTAATCAACGTGAACGCCTCTGTGATTTCTCCACAAATTTAGCGAAAGCACTGCTACCAAAGAAAAGATCCCAAAACAAATAAATAATATTTCGTCACTTGACAATGATGGGTCTCAATTCCTATTTTCTAGTGTGTTTTTTTATTTTATATCATATACCTTACAAAGACAGTTCTAACATCATGCACAAAGTCACTCACGATTCACCATAAACAAAACATTTTCCCAAGCGCTATTTATCCATTTTTTAATGGCATATCACTCCTCTAATTCTTGCAATATGACATTTAGAATAATGTCAATCATGAAGTTTTGTATTTATATATGATGAAATGTCTGTCCTTTGTTGTGTTTATCAACCGATTATCATCTCAAGGGTTTGTTAAAATCAGACAAAGGGGGTTGAAACTTACTAGCTTGAGGTACATGTAGTCAAACAGCTGTGGTTCGGGAAGGATTGTTCTCCTGCTGACATGAAAGGGGTACAGGGGTGCTCCACTGAAAAAAAAAAAAATTTAAACCTAGATACAAAATTCTTCTTCATTTAAATCTTTACATTTCTATCGATATGATTTTTGAAGCAAACATAGTGATTGGTTTTACATATTTTATAAAACATATGTTTTACAATTTTATCATAATAACATTATTAACGAGTATTTATTTTCATACATCGCATTTGGCCATATTCTTTTAAACATATCTTTATCTGCAACATTAATAAAATCACCAAAAAACCACTTGTAATATAGCTATACACACAAGTATATGAAAAAAATATATGATACAATGAGTTTCTTAGAAATACCCTAGTACTTTCAGCTCTTTGGAATGCTAGACCATGGCAAACTTTTTCGATAATAATCAATCTTTGAATCCACCTTTTACCCCCAAATTCCTATCTTAACATATCAGTACAGAATCAAAAGTACAGTATATCAGAAACGATATTTGTTATCACTTCCTAATATGAATCTATGAATGTATAATCGATAATACAATTCGATACCAGGTATTCTAACGGCAATATCTTTAAGGGGGATTCACAGGCATGGTACTGTTGTGTCAAAACTAAACATGAACAATCACCAAAACGCTCTGGGTGTTTTCAAAGAATAAGTAAAGAAATATTTTCGCTCCAGAGATCGCGACTACTTAACCCTTCCAAAGCTTCCAGTGATAAACGTTAAGTCTACGAGGGTGAGGTAAGCCCAGCTAACTACTGGAAGTATTGCCAGCTCTTTCACGTTTGAAGAGGCGTGAGTTATGACCTATAACCCCTTAACTTGACGTATACAATACAGTGAAAGCATCGCCGATCAACTATGTTTGATGGCAAAGGTTTGATGCTTAATTCTGCTGTGTCACCAAACAGGAAAGAGTACAATCAACGCACTGTCTATGTGTCGTTAACTGGAGTGAATTTCCACACCTTTCGGAGCCATGTAACACCTTTCAACACCACACTCCAAAGAAAATGTGCGCTTCCTAAAACAATCCCCCTCTTGTCGACTTAACACTGGGGTTATAGACTGTGTACCCTGTCTAACACCCCGCTTACATAGACTGTACTGTAACATGGATAAACATGTACTGTTAACCCTGTAGCTGTATGTAACAGACTAATGTTAGAGAGTTAGAAAACTACCGATAATGTCAGTACATAGAGGTTAATGTGGTTCGTATTAAATGCGATGGTCATTTGAAATTCTTTAATTTTGTGTGATTATTTCTACTGAAAATATTAAATATATAATTTTGAAATTATCCTAGAGTAAGTACAGAATCTTTAAAACGTCGACAATTCTGTTATCTAATGTATGAGTCTCACTGAGATCGGTTTGTTTTCCGAGTTCATAAAAAATGACTGACTTAACAAACGGAATCTACCACGATTCAATGTCGAAACAAACGATGCGCTTAAAATAGAACAACACGCTTTCACAGTACTGTAGTATAGGCCATCTGCTCAAGAAAAAAATAATTGTTCCATGGTCTGAAACATTCGATATATTTTATCATAAAACACACTAAACAGTAGACAATTTTGTCTTTGTTACTTTAAACCAACTACGGTTGAACGAGGGATTATATGGGACTCGGAAGGTTTTTACTTAGGGTGAAATGAGCAACCACAGAAAACGTTGCAATGATGTGGAGCAAACAGCGAATTTGTCGTCGCTATAACAGCAAGTTACATTAATACCTAGTGCTATTACCAGCGCCTCAAGGGCTTTTTCATTGATATAAAACGGTGACTTCTTAAATATTGATCTCCATTTAAGTCTTAACCAGAGACATAAATCACACTTAGTCTTGTACATACCACTTGAAAGCTTTCTTAAAATCTTTTTAGAAGGTGTTCTTTTGCAGGTGCGTCTGTGCGTAAGACTTGAATGCTATTGTGCCCTGTACGAGATCTATATGCAAGGTGATTGATTAAATCCTCCATCTCTGACGTACACTGTACAGGTTTGTACAGCGGCTTTCTTTCCTTCATGTGTTATGATGTATGTCTGTAGATCTGCTGACGCAATCCTTTACCGAATTCTACACCCGCACTGATATCAAAGTCTCATTTTAAGAACTTCAATGTTCAACTCAGATTGAACAATCATAAAAAATAGCACCAATAATAGTATTTAACTTCGCCAATGACAGTGAGTTAGTGCCACCATTTGGTAGACTTGTTAAAACCGTGGATCGAGTAATACTGAAACATAATTCAGTTTCGAATCTTTCTTTGGGGAACAAATAAGAGGGGTCCAAGTATGCTGCAACAGCCAACATTTCGCAAAAAAACACACTTCACATCAAGTGCAACCAACACAAGAGGATTACGTTTCACGCAGTTTCGAAGAATATTCGAGCTTAAAGCATCTCTTCTGTATGTATTTTGAGATGTGTCTGAAGGTTACATGACTGAATAAATCCCTCACCACACATATTACATGTGTAAGGCTTCTCTCCTGTATGTATCCAGTTATGTTCCTCAAGGTCAACTGATTGATTAAATCCTCTACCACAGATATCACACTTGTAAAACTTCTCTCCTGTGTGTGTTTCGAGATGTCTCTGTAGGCTAGATGAATAACTAAATCTCTTATCACAGACATCACATGTATATGGCTTCTCACCTGTATGTATCCTTGAATGTGTCTTTAGGAAAAACGAAGAAATAAACTGCTTACAACAGACATCACATTTGTAGGGCTTTTCTTGATCTCCTGTATGAATCCTGAGATGTGCTTGTAGGTTCGATGATCGACTAAATTCCTTACCACAGACATCACATTTATATGGCTTTTCACCTGTATGTGTCCTGAAATGTAACTTCAGGGAATCTCGTCTATTGAATTCTTTACTACAAACACCACACTTGAAAGGAGTCTCTCCGGTATGTGTCCTGGAATGTGACGGTAGACTTGAGGAATAACTAAATCCTTTTCCACATATATCACATTTGTGAGGTTTCTCTTCTGTATTTGTCTTGAAATGCCCCTGCAGAGAATCTTTTCTGTGAAATCCCTTACCAGTGGCGTCATATTTGTAACGTTTATCTCCAATATGCGTCTTTAAATGTGGTGGCAGATGCGATGATTGACTAAATCCTTTACCACATACGTCACATTTGAAAGGTTTCTCTCCTGTATGTGTTCTAAAATGTGCCTGTAGGTGAGATGACTTACCAAACTCCTTACCACAGACACCACATTTGTACTTATATCCTTCTTTATGTACCTTGATATGTATCTGTAGGGAATATCGCCTATTAAATTCCTTTCCACAGAGATCGCATCTGTAAGGCTTCCCTCCTGTATGTGCTTTGAGATTTGTCTCTAAGCTAGATGACTCACTAAATGCCTCACTACGAACATCAGAGCTGTAAGGCTTTTCTTTATTATGTGTCTCCAGATGTTCTTTAAAGTCACAAGACTGAATAAATCCTTCTCCACACATTTCACATCTGTAAGGCTTCCCTCCTGTATGTGCTTTGAGATTTGTCTCTAAGCTAGATGACTCACTAAATTCCTCACTACAGACTTCGGAGCTGTAAGGCTTTTCTTCATTATGTGTCTCCAGATGTTCTTTTAAGTCACATGACTGAATAAATCCTTCTCCACTGATACCATTTGTGTAAAGCTTCTCTGCCACATGTGTCTGTAGATGTGCCTGAAAATCACATGACTGAATAAATCCTTCTCCACATGTATCACATGTATAAGGTTTCTCTCCCGAATGTATCAAGTAATGTTCCTTAAGATCTGTAGCCTGGTTAAACTCTCTGTCACAGACATAACACTTGTAAATCTTCTCTCCTGTGTGCGTCTCGAGATGTCTCTGTAGGCTAGATGAATAACTAAATCCCTTACCGCATACATCACACTTGTTAGGCTTCTCTCCTGTATGTATATTGAAATGTATCTCTAAGCTAGATGACTTACTAAATTCCTTACCACAGACAAAACATTTGAAATGTTTCTCTATAACACCCGTATGTGTCTTGAGATGTGTTTGTAGATGCGACGATTGATTAAATCCTTTACAACAGATATCACATTTATATGGCTTCTCGCCTGTATGTGTCCTGAAATGTCTCTTTAGTGATTCTTTTCTTTTGAATGCCTTACCACAAACATCACATTTGTAAGGATTCTCTCCACTGTGTGTCATCAAATGCGGCCGTAGATAGGATGACTGACTAAATTCCTTACCACAAACTTTACACTTGAAAGGTTTCTCTCCTGTGTGTATCCTAAAATGTGTCTCTAAGCTAGATGACACACTAAATTCTTTACCACAGACATCACATTTGTAAGGTTTCTCTCCTGTATGTGTCCTGTGATGTGCCAGGAGGCTAGATGATTGACTGAATTTTTTATCACAAACATCACACTTAAAAAGCTTAACTTTTGTATGTGTCCTGTGATGCATACGTAGGTGAGATAAATATTTAAATTCCTTACCACAGACATCACACTTGTAGAGATTATCTACTACATCTCCTGTATGTACCCTGAAATGTGCCTGTAGGTGGGATGAATTATGAAATTCTCTACCACACACCTCACACTTGAGGAGCTTATCTGTTGTATGTGTGGTAAGATGTCTCTGTAGGTTAGATGACTGACTAAACCCCTTACCACAGACGTCACATTTATGGGGCTTCTCTCTTGTATGTGTTCTGTGATGCCTACGCAGGTGAGCTTGAGAATTAAACACCTTATCACAGATATCACACTTGTTATTTGTTTTCTCCATGGGTAAACCTCTGATGATTATTCATTTAATTGTTGTCACAGCAGAATGGTCTAATGTCTCAATAGCATTGTACCATATTCATTTTATGTCGTTTCATATATGTGTTCCATGGCAGAATCAGAAGGAAAGAAAGAGTTTGACGCAGTGTTGTTTATATCTTCACTGGTAGGTTGGTAATAAATGCCTGATGCACATTTTTCGTCCAAGAGATACCATTTCTGGATGGTATGACACCACATAGAAAAGTCATCTGAAAGTACACGAAACACAAATAAAGTACAAATACCTTTCCAAGCAATTAAATAAGGCCCGCAGAAATAAAATGTTTATGCATAACTTAGATACAACTGAATTGACTGCCGATAAAGAAAAATATTTTATAAAATTGAGCTTCGGAATTACTTCAAAACGTATTTTCTCAGAATCCTGTCACAGGATGGTAATATGTCAGGTTTTGAGATTAGTTAATATCATGGTCACCGAGAATAAACCACACACAGATTCTTTACAAACCCTAATTTGTATGCTCAACCAAAGACTTCATGTACGTCACGACCTGATAAGGTTATCCACACTCCAACAACCCTGCATGTTTACCATGGTAACCATCAACTCCAACTAGAACTGTCATCAGGAGGATAACTAATACCCCCGCTGATGCTGGCAGTTTATAATACATCATTTAGTTACTTCGACCTTGGGTTTCCGGACAAGTTATTTTGCATGATGGACCGAAACTCCCTTAAAAAGTGTTTAAATCTAAAATTAAAATGCCGGTGCACAACTACATAATAAACCCATCATTCAAGTGAAGTTTCAACAAGTATTTCGCACAAAGGGATATAACTCTACCAAAATGGGTCGAAATTAATGCTGGTGCACAACTGCATAAGATACTGATCATTCATGCAAAGTTGCAAAGAAATCCAGCTGTTAGTAAAGGAGGAGTTTCCCGGACAAGTTACTGTGGATGACAGACAGACAGACAGACAGGGTGATTCCCGTATACCCCTCCCCTAACTTCATTGCGGGGGTATAAAAGAGTATCGTCTTATACCAGAAGCCCATCATCTTTTGCTAGGATTAATTTACATCAAGCGCCAATTTCATTTCACCATCGTAAGTGTGTACCATACGCATCTTCACAATCCTGTACCAAGCTTACTATAATATGTACTAGTTTAGTCATTATGGACATTTACTAAAGTCACATAATCTTTTTTGTGACGGTTAAAGACCTATTAACACTATAAGTCAATTTGGCTATAGAACAATGTGCAATCCAAGGTTAACAAAGACATTTACAAACAGAAACGTACCAAACTCTGGCTAAAAAGGTTTAACATGGATGGAATCCATGCTTGCTTGGAATTTTTAGTGAGTGCAAGAAATAGAAGCTGTAACAAGGACTAAATATCTAGGAGAACAGTGACTAGATGTGAATATATTTGTTTCTTCATGCCCATCAATATAATATGTTATGGCAGGGTTGGAATCTCAACTCTTTCTGACTTAAGTGGGGAAGCACCAAGAGGTGAGGCAGGACCTAATCCGAGTAGCATGAAAGTTGTCATCTTCATGACCAGCAATTATATATTTGGTTATAGCTGGGTGGTGATCTGAACTGTAAGTTTTTGACATATTTGACCATGTAAACTTGAAAATAGCTCAAATTCATGAATGTTTGCAAACTCAAAATCAAGGAAGATACCACCAAATATGATTCTAGGCCTTTCAGTTCTTAAGAAGAATTCATTTGATATTTTTGACATATCTGATACATTCGACCTTTAAAGTGTTTTATTCAGAAACTTTGTTAGGCCCTATACAAGGAAGCCATCAGCCAAATATCATAGCTCTAGATTTTGAAATTTGTTAGAAGTTGTAAACTTTTGACATATATATATGACTCCTGTAACCTTGAATGTGGGTCAATGTTATTTTTATTCACAAATCAATGTAAAGCTCCACCCCAAAAAGCTACCAGCAAAATACCATGGTTCTACACCTTTTGGTTCTTAAGCAGAAGTTGTTTGAATTTTTGACATATTTGACCTCTATGACCCTGAGAGTAGGTCATGGTCATTTGTGTTCACAAGCTTTGTTAACTCCATCCATCCAAGAAAGCTACCAGACAATTATTATGACCCTAAGCCTTCTGGTTCTTCAAAAAAAGTCATTTAAAGTTTTCCACACAATTGACCACAGTGATTTTGAAAGTGAATGAGGTCATTTTTTAAGCAAACTTTAACAGAATCCACACCTGTTCGTAAACTTTGTCGGGCTCCATCAAGGGAAGCCACAAGGTAAGTATCGGTTGAGCTTTGGAAACATTTCAAACCATAGACGTAAAAGGATGATGGTTTGTTTTGAGATTAGTTAATATCATTACTCACTAAAAAATGCAAAGACATGAATTGATCCAAATCACTGTTCTTAGATTCTTTACAAAGAATTCAGGTACAATTTCAGCACTCCATTAACCCCGCAGAGTCTTGATTGGCTCTAATGACTAGAAGATGAAATGGTTTAAACTCATGACCATGCAATGGGTTGGGAGTTTAAACCCGAATTCACGGTCTTATCGCAGGTACAGATGCAAAATAATAAGCATTCAGCGACATAGTTTCAGTTATTTTTAGAAAATGAAATACCATACCAATCTCACCACAATTAAGTAAGTATATCATAGTTTAGGACCCAATACGTAAGTTCCCATGATGAGTTACTGTACAGTCGATTGACCAATCACAGAGCTGTTTTTGGCACCAGCTTTACTGGCAAGATACACATGACATTTGACAGCTTAGTAGTGTACGCTCCTTAGTGGATGTTAAGATGGGGTCTTTATGAGCCCATTTTAAAAATCCTCTAAGGGGTAGAATAAGTAAACCTGTTACCCATCCCCCTGACTGCCTGCAGTATTAGAGTGCTATTTGGCGAAATGTCTATGAATTCTGACAGCTGACTTTACTGATTTGGCACACTGTGGCCGAGATCAAAACAAACTTAGCTTTTATTATTCATACCAAACTGATGAATCTTATTCCAGTACTTACTAGTATTATATATTTCTTCGCATCGCTCATGCTGCCAATTTGTTTTTAAAAGAACTTGCTTTGGAATGTATTAATCAAAGCAAGACCATTGGAATGTCTTCCAGCTGGAAGTTAACAGATGTTTAGCAGCCCAATTTACTGGGGATTTAAACAAAGATAACAGAAAAGACAAAGGGAGATGTTCTGTATATGATCGTTTTTTTATATCAAACTTTAATACTTGGAGTACAGTACTGACAATGTGACCAAGCAGATTATTGCCAAATAAAGTTTTAAGTTATTGTTTTCCCTTGCACCTTAACGCAGATTAATCACAAATGGTTTGATTGATTTGGTTGTATATTGCTTAACGTACTTTTAACAGCTAAGGTCATTCAAGGACGTGTCTTAATTTGTGTTGTGCAAGCATGCATGTTTGTGTGTGTGCCAGAGACAGGGTATGTTTGTGTACTTGCATCCTTGTGATAATATAGATATGAACGCAGAACGCTTGTGTTGGGAACTTATCGGACGTGTTCTGGATTTGGAATCTATAATTCTTTGTTTGATTGTTAAGCATGTGATGCTGACTTTTTAGTGCTATCTCACTGAAATACCATACCGAAGGCAACCCGCACAGCATTCCACCCGGTCACATTATACTGACAATCGGTGAAATAGTTGTTATCATTACCCCAAATGCTGAATGTTGAGCAGCGACTAACAACTACCATTTTTAAGGACTTTGGTATGTCCCGACCTGGGGACAGAACCCGTTGCCTTCCTCACCAGGGCGTGTGTTCAACATTAAAGCCAAAAGTGAGGTGTTGCTAAGCAAGGCGCCAGGAAATAAAAGATAGTTAGAAGTAGAAAGAAATAGAAAGATCCAAAATATTGCAATGATCATGAGTGCAGCACATTTTTTTTTTTTTATCGCTTTTGTGTCCCCTAATGGAGGATACAAATGCTTCTGCTGTAAAAACAAGAGGCCCAATGGGCCTGAATCACTCACCTGGTATAAATCTCACACTGGTAATCTTAAAAGTAGACTAAAATACAGCTCCAGGCAGAATATCAGTGTTTGATTCATAAAAACCTATTAAAAGATTTAAACATATGACCTTGAATGTCGAACAAGGACATTAGGTTGAACAGAGTTTATAGTCTTCCAACCCAGCATGCTTCTGGGAAAATATCAGTATCCTGGACCTTTTGGTTATACAGAACAAGTCATTTAAAGATTTAAACATATATTGACCACTGTGACCTTGAATATGGGTGAAAGTCATTCATTTGAACAAACTTTGTAGTCCTTCATCCCAGCAAGTTACTGGTCAAATATCATGATCATAGACCTCTTGGTTATTGAAAAGAAGTTGTTTGAAGATTTTAACACATTTGACCTGTGACCTTGAAAGTCGGTCAAGGTCATTCATTTGAATAAATTTGGTAGCCCTTCATCCCAGCATGCTACAGGCCTAATATCAGTACCCTGATCCTTTTGGTTATTCATAAGAAGTTATTTGAAGATTTTAAGACATTTGACCCCTGTGACCTTGAAAGTGGGTCATGGTTATTCATTTGAACAAACTTGGTAGCCCTTCATTCCAGCATGCTACAGGCCCAATATCAGTACCCTGGGCCTTTTGGTTATTGAGGAGAAGTCGTTTGAAGATTTTAACACATTTGACCCCTGTGACCTTGAAAGTCGGTCAAGGTCCTTCATTTGAACAAACTTGGAAGCCCTTCCTCCCAGCATGCTACAGGCCCAATATCATCACCCTAGGGCTTTTGGTTATTGAGAAGATGTTGTTAAAAGTAAAATATTGACGTCAAACGCCGGACGGATGACGCACCACAGCACAAGCTTACTTGCCCTTTGGTCAGGTGAGCTTATAAAGTCTGTATACGTATTGAGTAATACAGCATGAAGACAATATGCTTCTAATAACATATACTGTCTTTACTTTCCCCTCCAACTTAAAACTAGTGATAGAGCCAGGGGATGTGAAGAAAACTTTGAGAAGGCATTATGTACTCCGGTGTCATGCATAAAATGTACCTCCTGCTTAAATAGTATCCGGATACTTTTTATGCAGAATAAAAAGTATCCGGATACTTTTTATACCCCTACCAAAAAGTACCCCCCCTGTATAAAAAGTACCCCCCTATGAAAAAACCAGATGTTTCAAAATTTTTAATCAATAACAGT